GTGTGAATGCACCTAGAAAAAGCTGGAATAACAAAAGCGTCCTATTCCTTAATGGAAGAAGGTAAAAGAAAAGCTGAGGAAATGTACCTATTATCTAAGAAATCTGCATATTCAGTATGAGTGTATGCAATAAAACTAAATTGAACTTTAGAAGCGGCTTAAAGAAGTGATCCTTAGATAATTTAAGCACAAATTATGTACCTTATTATCAACATTTTAAACAGTGCTTATTTCGTCATTGACCACTATTATAATACTCTACTAGTTGGAAACTCGACTTTTGCAGTTAGATAAAGTCAGGTTGTTTAGTGGAACTGATCAGATCTAAAGTGATAAACCTCCCAAAATACAAATTTCAACTTTCGTGATAGAGTATTATTATAATTTATCCGAGGGTTGTCTATAGAAGAAGCAAATGATGGAAATATGTGCCAAATCCTAAATCCGCATCGATTTCCCGATTTAAAAACAATCGAGCAAAAGGGGAGAGAGCGGCAGCACTTTTACTATCGATTGATCATCGCATTCTCTGCGGCGAAGCTTCACATTCTTATGCGTCAGCAAAGTTCTGCTTTTGCTGTCTATGCAATGTCCTCGACGTTGCTGATGCTTCCACTTTCCCAAATAACCGATGAATGAACACACATATCGACTCATTTTTACTATCATCCACCCGGCATAGTAAATATTTCCAGGTAATTCCAAAATTCAAAAAAAAGTTAAATGTAGATGCAGCCAGCTAGTTGAGGTAGAATTGTTGCTGATGACCTATAACTTTTATAAGTCGATTCAATGCATTCAACTTAGCTAAAGTAACGGATTTCGAAGAAGATGAAGCGTGCCTTTTAAAATAACGGAAGAAATGGCAGAGAGACAACAAAAGAGTGCGGAAGACGAGATAAAGGACTGAGAGTTTTCACTTATTCTAATTGAGTTTTACGTGAATTATATATGATTCAGTTTAATTTTTAGAATCAAATTGGTAATATGTATATGCAAAAATTATTCTTGAATCTTGTGAAAATCAGTGCATCACTCTGTAGAACATTTCGACTAAACTTTCCCTGATTTTCGAATTTCCCTCAAGATGAACAGAATCACTACGCATGCAACTTTTCTCGTACAACTTTTACAATTTATTTGGTTTTCAGTATTCAATTACATTTGGTATTCGCTATTGAATTACAATTCGAATTCGAATTTGATTGGAAATGTAGCTTAAATTAATACGAAATAAATTTATATTAGTTGGTTCGAAAAAAGCATTAATTCTAAATTCAATGTAATGTAAAATATGTAAATTAAATGTAAGTATGTACTTGTTAATAATGATTTTAGATACAGCTCCGAAAATCTGTTGAAAAATTAATGGGGAATGGGTTGAAAACCACAAGTTTAAAGAAAACTAGAAACAAACTATCGAAAGAAACCTAATGAAAGTGCAAATAAAATTTGATTTGATTTATATTTTTACTTTTTTTGACTTAAGTTGGTAAGTTCAAACTTTCAACCGTACATGAAGGTCTAATTCACTAAATTTTTACGTTTGGATGGGTACCGCTATATAGGATGTGATTTTTTGAAAAACTTTAGGTTTTCAGATTTTTTGTTGTTCTTTAATTTACTTTCACATTTTGTTATTCAGTCATTTTTTAATAGTAATGTGCACATTTCAGAATGATAACTTAATGTAGAACTTAGTTCCAGCAATTTTTGTAAACATGCTATTAACTTCAACTTCAATCATTTGACGATTTTGAAAAAATAATTTCATTGTTTTCTTATGAAAGGAACTAAAATACACTAATAATAACAAGAAACAAAAATTAATCTAAAACTTAAAATCTTATGGGCTCAAATATTTTTGTCAATATTAAGAATTCCCGAAACTGGCTGGTCTTTTACTTATGAAGTAGAAAGGCAAATAAATATAATAAATCAGAAAAAATGCTCTGATTATAAAGTTTCAAAATAATCTGAAATCCGCGTTTATTAATTTTGCAACTGTCACTTTATATCAATTTTATAGGCTTATAATTTTGCAATAAGAAAGTATTAGCTGCTTAATTTTAAACAAATACAAAACTAGCACAAATATTGTTGTCAATATTATTTGCAAGAATGCTCCCTGGAACTGTCCAGTGCTTTATTTATAGAGTAAAAAAGTTAATATAAAACAAAACTTTCTTTCAGCTTTGTTATAATTGTTGCTTTAGAATCCTGCTGTTCAAGGTGTTCGGCGCTTATTTTTTATTGTGACTTTTATTTAATTTTTATGGTTTAATAATTGGGTCATAAGAAAAGCATTGTCTAATTTTCTTAGAAATAGAAACATTATGCAAAATAATTTCAACAAACAAAAAATTTCCGTTTTTAGTGGCCTAATAAAAAAATACACAATTTAAAAAGTCAAGGCTTAAATATTTTTGTCAATAGTTGAATTGCGAGAATTCTCTACGAAACTGTCCAGGGCCTCATTTATCTGGTAGAAAAACTAATATAAAACAAAATATACTGTAAGGTTTGAAAATAATCTAAAATTTTGCTTTAGAATCTGCTAAGCAAAGTGTTCCGCGCTTATTTTTTTTTAAACTAATTTATTTTAACATTTTGTCATAAGAAATTTGCTAATGTTCCTTATAAAAAGAAACATTATGCAAAATAATTTCAATAAAAAAACTTGTGTTGTTGAAACTGGCGAAGAAAGAATGCTCCCGGAACTCCCCATTGTCTTATTTGTCGTGTAGAAAAGTTAATAGAGAACAAAATTTACTTTAGATTGTAGGGCTCAAAACTAATTTAAAATTGTTGCTATAGAATCTGCTGTTTGACGCTGATTTTCATTGTAACTCGTACTTTATTTTAATTTTTGTGGGGTTATAATTTTGCCACAAAAAAAGTATTGCATACTTTTTCTAAAAAAAAAGAGCAAGATGATAAAACAATTCAAGAAACAAAAATATTCTGTTTTCAGCTGCTTAACTTTTTTTAATATAAATCTTAAAAACTGAGGGGCTCAAATAGTTTTGCAAAATATTAGTTACAAGAATGCTCCCCGGTCATGTGCAGTGTTTTATTTATCAAGTTGTATTTTATTATGTACTTGAGAATAAAATTTTCTATAATAATCTAAATTGTTGCTATAGAATTTGCTGTACAAGATCATCAGGGCTTATTTTTTGTAACTTAAATAGTTAATAATAATAAATTTGTCGGCACATTTTAATTGTTTATTATGTCATTAAAAATAATTAGAATTTACTTAATATTTGAATTACATATTGTGATTTTTATCAAAACTGAAGTGAATAAGTTGCCAATAACACACTAACACCACTCCAAAACAGCGATTGTTCAGAAGAATTAGCTTAGAAGAAAAGAAATATAAACTTAAGCAAAGATAATGGTTTTAAAAAGTGTTCATACAGCATACAGCATTTCAAATAAGAGAAAAAGTAAAATATACTCGTGTGTACCTATTCTAGAATTTCTGCTTGCTGAAATTACCGCAAAGCAAAATTGACCAACTGAAAAAAGTATTAAATTCGCTTTGTAAATATTTTTGAAAACCCGATTCTGCAGGTTTTCTATCATCAGATTCCGATTGCCAGTCCTAAAAATTGTAATTTTTATTTATATACGGTGGCCCAAAAATGTTATGATATCAAGCCCAACTTTTCAAATAGAAATCCCGTTTTTTGCAAATGTATTCAGTTTTCTACAAAATTAATATTATGTTTTATGTAGCACACCCTATACTTCCGGTTTTTGGGAAATTGGCGTCTGAAAGTCATAAGCAAAATTACCACCCAAACTTATAAACTGATAAAAATTAAAACTCAGACTTATTTAAAATTCAAGGTTTAGGTAAATCGGCCGCTAAACATTGGAGACTTAGAAACCAAAATTAGGCAGGGAATTAGGAATATTGACAGAAAGGCACTCAATAATGTTGAATAATAATATAGATAACAATAAACAAACTAATGATGACTTTATACATCGGTTTGGCTGGTTATGGTCAAGAAGGTGGCTGTTTGAGCACTTATTTAACTCTTTTAGTCTTAGTTTTAATTAGTTTTGGTGTAACAAAATTTTAATTAATTAATTGCGTGTCATTTTTGCTTACGACATTCAGACGCCAAATGATTAGGTTTTTGTAGAGAATTCAATAAAACTTCTATTTGAAAAAGTTGGCCTTGATATCATAATTTTTTTTTGCGACATCCTGTATAAAAACTTGGTTCAGAAAATGAGCATTTAAAAACAAAAATCGACGAGTCCGAGCAATTTTCCCAAAAATAAACAACGGATTTTTAAATAATTATATGCAATACATTTGCCGCCGCTCATTGTAATGTATTGCAAATTTAATATCAGTAAATAGTTATAAATCTATTAGAACGTAAACCCCAGTGGCATCTTAGCAATCTTTTACATTATAGCACACAAATCGCTACACTAATAATTCCGAATAACTAAAGTAATGATAACATTTTAAGTATTGAATCAATTAAATTTACTATCTTCAAAGTGGGTATCAATTAAACCTGATAAGCACAAGTTCTGCTAAATCCGACGCGATAATCTTCTGAAAATTCTCAACGAATAGTTTATACCTATTTAAATTAAAATTGTAAAAAATCTTATTATTGAATGGGTTTGGCAGTAAAAACCCTCAACCCCCAGAGTCCAGTGAGCTTTTAGAATATCCTGTAAACATGTCATAGCTGGCAATAACGCAAACTCATGCATTTGACAATAAAAATCGTAACCCGTTCAACTTTAGTGGCCCATATGCTGAAATCTTATGAGAATGCCGGAACATTTCTAACACACAATAAAATTCAAAAACACCCCAACATTTTCCGCTCTCCACTGGCCGCGAAGGTATAAACAAATTTCCTTTTGCGTCTCTCTCTTGGATAGCAGTTCCGTTCGGATTCTGGTCATTCTCTCTTGCACTTACCTATACAATATCGACTGATAAAGGCGGTCCTTCCATCCAAATGCCCGCCTCTCCAACTCGAATCCAGGACTATCCGGGACGCGCCACCAACACCGCTGTCGGTGGCAGCAAAAATGATTCTGCCGCCGTCGTAAATGCATTGCGAAAACCTTAAGAAAGTGTTTCGAAAATAACGCGAAGTGTTTGCTCACGGCGAACTTTTTTAGCCAGTGTTTTTTTTTGTTTTGAATGTGGGCATCATGGATGACAATCAGCAAGATTTATTAGCCGAAGAGTATGTTCAGGATTTTGTGTTAGACCATCTAGAGGATATCACAGTGAAAAGGGAAGAAAAGCGTCAGTACATTGAATCTGTGGCCTGGTTACCTCACGAGGAAGATTCTTGCAGCAGAATGGGCGGAAGGGCTCAGGGCTGGGACGATAGAAGAAATGTAACACCGTCAGAGCCGATCTACCAACAACCCGTTATGATCAACATGACAAATCCAGATACACCTCCGCATACCTCTCCAAGCCAATCGCCTGCACCGTATAGATCATCTGGCTTGGAGGAGCAACAGCACATGATGTGGTTTCCACCAGTGATGCGTTCTGAGCCTCAACCTTTGGACCTCAGGCCGCTTCATTGCATGGGTGGAGATCCGGAATGGGAACGACGAGGTTACATTCCGTCAGGTATAATTCCGGAGGACCAAAACCACAATCATCTGCTACATCAAAGACCTCAATCAGTGTCTTCGCTGGCGAGTGCACTTTCACCTCGACTGGGACTTCGTAAAAACGACAGTGGATATTTCGGATCGAGTGATGAGTTCAATACCAGTGGTTATTCAACGTGCTCAGATGAGCTGGGTCGTCTGAGCGACAAAATGCTTATGACGCTTTCTGTGCGAGAGCTAAATAAAAGGCTTCACGGTTGTCCTAGAGAAGAAATCGTCAGACTCAAGCAGAAAAGGCGAACTCTGAAAAACCGAGGATATGCTCAAAATTGCCGATCGAAACGATTGCAGCAACGGCACGAACTAGAGCAAACCAACAGAAGCCTGCAGAATGAGCTCCATAGAATCAGATCGGAATTAGCCAGAGCAATACAGGAGGTTGATCGTCTAAAACTCCAAATCCGCAACCAGGCGAGTCAGAATATAAATTGCGATGGTCAGAATTCGGCCGAATACTATGTGTGACATCAATTCCAGGGTCGAAGAGTATAGCTCTTGCGACCCTCTGGATTTCCGCCAAGGATCGCAAAACAAGTGAAACGAAGTATTTTTTAGACTACAATTGGAGCGGTATTGTGCCAATTTTTCTTCAATTTGTGTGAATAGCTGTTGGTTATTTATGTATTGCTAAAAACAGTATGTAATACGTTTATATCAAAAAACGCTTTTTTATTTCTCATATTGTTATTTGAAATAAATTAGCATTAAACTTATTGTTATTATTGCATCAGTTTTATGCTCCGTTTTATTAAGTACTTTAATTTTTAAGTTTTATAATTGAAGCCTATTTTTAGTCGTTTTGATGTTCCGATTTTTCTATGTACCAACCAACAATATCACTATTAAATGTCGAATGAAACGATTTGCATATCTTTCATTATTATACGAATTTTTTTAATGGAAATGTTATGTATGGTTTTGTACATTCATCATGAAATATTTTTATATACCTGGGGTCAATTTTGGACCTGCTGTGTTATGTTTTTAGAATATAATATATTGAATATGTTATATGAGTAAAAAGTTGTAAATAACAGAACTTTAGAGACCAATAAAATCATTGGCTACGCCAATTATCCTGTTTCATTTTTACATTTCAATATTCTTACAGGTAGGTATAATAAAAAAATCAATTTCTACAACTATTTAAATTTCAAAGTTATATTCTATTTTTAATTCTTATACAGGAAGTAGCTTTTACATGGCTTTTACATGCTGCTACCTAGATTTATTGAGCATAAAATAAATTTTATAGTTTTTATTTTTATTAGAATAAACAGTAAAAATTAACGAAACATGCAAATAAGTACTAAACCAGAATGATGCAAATTGATAACTGCTCTAGCCAGCCAAATAGCATGTACCTGCCGTCATTACATTTATTTCATATTTAATTTATCAAATTTGAATAAAACACTGAATCAATATTAGCCCTTTTGCATGAGTTATTTATTAGTTTGCGATTTATAATGTAAATATAATATTACTTTGAACAAAACAATGCACCCCCCAAACTAACAGATTCATGTTTGATAATATTATATATCAACAATTTGTTTCGAAAATAAACATTTTAATAATATAGGGTGCGAAAACAAAAGAAGTTATATTCTAGGCAATCATTTGCAATTAAATCACTGATAAACACTACAAATATTATGATTTAATGGTGTGCTTTAGAATAACGATAAATTCAAATGTTATTAGGTTCTTGCTATGTTTGATCGATATGATATTTGCGATTTAATGCTGAATTTCCTGTCTGAAAAGCTCTAGTTTAACGAAGTATTTCCCAAATTAGAGCACATTTATTTATTTATACAACTACTAACCTCAAGGTCTAAAAAAAAGTGCAATTTTAGATAAAAATATATTTTGATTTATTTCATCAAGATTCTTTGCTTTATTCTATGGTATGAAAACCTCCTTTTTAAAATTAAAGGTGCTTTTTATTTTTTAGCAAATAGGTATTTGAAAAATCTCGTAGGTTTCACGAACATTTTTGTTTAATGAAAGCTAATCAAGTGTACTTTTCTCATATAGAAATTTGTTTTTATTTTATTTCGTGCGCTTTCGCACATAAAAAATAGTTTTCTTCTTTCTTTTGCAGGAATTTATTATTATCGATCAATAAAATAACATTTGAAAGTAGGGTATAACTAGGTATAACATTTTTATGCATTAGGTAGACATGTTTATGATTTTATAAAACTTTTCCATTTTAATAATTTATTTAAATTAGTAAAATTATCTGCGAATCTTTCAAATTTAAGAACTGTTATTTCAAAACGATAAATTTATCACAAACTAACTAAAAAGGGACTTTATGATTAATCTTAATTAGTGCTGAGGAATAATAAAAAAACTGACTTTTTTGAAAAAATGGCGTGATTTTTGAGAAAATGTTTATTTTTCTACAACTTATAAATATACATAACTTTTTATTAATATAAATTAAGACTTGCATTACCACGATGTTTAAATTGCGTAAAGAAATTATGCAGTTACTGACTAGGCCTAAAATGATGTGATTTAGTAAAATATTTGAAACTAATTCTTGAATTGAACATATCAAACCAAGTATTTGGAAAAACTATAATACCTAGTGGGTAGTAAATTTATTAAAAAACTAGAAGTGCGTCGATCTTACGAAGTAAATTTTAAAAACTTTCGTTTGCCTCATTCAATTGTTGCAAAAATACAATTTTACCCGACATTGCAATACATTTCAAACCATTGAACAAATCTTTCAATGAATAATTTGCTACTGGATATCACCAAAATTCAGAGATGTAGATCGAATTCAATTCAATTCTATATAATCCAAATTCTGGTTCTTCTATCCATTCTAGATTTAATTATACAAAGAAGCATTGTGGTCCACTTACAGTTAATTTGAAGAATCGATCAGTGTAAAATTGTGAATTTATAGATTTTACAAATTAAGTACTTTTAAACAAAAGTTAGAGCCAGAAATCACTGAAATGTAAGAGGCACTTTAGGCGAGTCGTTGAAAAAAAACTCACTTCGCTAGTATTCTTATTGCAAGACACAATAGCATTGTTAGGTATTTAATATCTAAAATGTGTAATTCTGTTTAAATAGACCATACATTTTGCAACCAGTACATTTTTCGAAACAGCAAATAAAAGCCCGGAAATCGTCAACATTTTTAATGGGATGACTAGACCCATTTTTAGAAACAAACACTGGACCAGACAATTTCGATTAACTTTGTCATATTTCAACAGTTAAACTGAGGTAACAGACCTCATACTTAATAAAGTATTATAATTTACTTAAATGCCGTTTAATTCTCAAATACTAATTTTAGTAATTTATAACTATTTTATATAACTTTTACTTGAAATATGATATTTGGAAAGAGGGTTTGAGTCTAAATTAAACTGAGATTGGACTGGAAAATATTAATTTCCACTTTTATTGTGCAGATCATATTGGTGTATTTATAATAGAAGGAAAAAGGTCGGCGATTCGAAACAAAGTGCGACCAAATTATATATTACTTACCTTAATTTATTTTAATAATATTTATACAGCCATACAATCCTAAAATTCCTGAAAGATATTTAATGTCCTATGATGGCACTGAAAAGTTTCCCAAGATCAGCGTCTCTCATTTCACATATAGGTAGTAATTATGTCCAACAATTAACAAATTAAATTAATTTTTGCGGTATGAATTACATGGAATATTTAAAATTTTGGTTGATGTAAAATAGCTTTAGTTATAATTCAATTAAAATTAAAAAAGTACATAATAAATCGTTACTTTATATTATATTTTTTAACTTTTAACATATGACAATCAATCCATTTTTTAGACATAACAGTAAATTATGATAATTCAAGTGAAATAAAAACAAATTGGTATACAAAAGAACTAGTAAGGAAGATATCTAAACTATAATTCATATGCACCTCAAAAATATAAAAAAGCGTAATAAAGGCACTTACGGATAGAGCTATAAAATGATCACACCCAAATTACAGACAAGAAAATTTTAAAAAAATCAGAAAAATATTACTTAATAACTACCCAAAAAAAATTTATTCCAGAAATCAATAAAAAATTATTAAAAATACTACAACCACACAACATTACAATAACGGAAAAAAACAAAGAACAACTTATCAACTGAATGTTTTCCAAAACTGAAACTAAAAACTGACAGAATGGATTTACCAAATACTGTATATAGAGTGAATTGTTTAGAATGTGATAATACATATATAGGACAAACTAAACGATATTTAAAAAAGAGAATATACGAACATAAATACAGTCTGGGAAATACTAGTGAAAATAAAACAGCATTAACACAACATGCACCCCAAGTGTTACATAATTTCGATGTTAACAACGCAGATATATTAGTTACGGAAACAAATTATCATAAAAGAAGAATCCTAATATAATAATTGAAACAAATTTAAGATTTCAAGAAGGCAAAGACCTAAAAGAACGTAATGTTTACAAATTATGAGGTACGTTTTTCAAATATTTTCCTGTCCCAAAAGGAAGGATTTTTTTCCCTCAAGAACTGATGAATGTTTTAACGCTTTATAAATTATAGTTTTTAGTTTTTGTACAATATGTTTTAATTGTGAATTGGTGTTGGTAGTTTGTGTAAATTTTAAATCTGATCATGGTCACTTTGACTGAGACCCAGGAAGGATAAGAATATAATAACAATTACACGCAGTCAGGAAAATAAATTAAAATATTTTTTAGGAGCAATTAAAAAACTTATTTATAATGCCATATGGAAAATCTACCAAATCCTCTTTTCGCAGTTGAAAACCAATTCAATAATGTGTGGTTTTTAGATTTCAAAAATTTCGCACTAACTACCAGAATAATTCATAAATTCGAAATTGCGCAGTGAATTTTTAATAATTGTTTAATATTAACGCAACGCCGCAATAACTCAGCTCCGTTGCTGCGAAAATGTTAATGACTTTTTTCACTTGTTTTTAGATTTATTTAAGGGCCATTTATTAATAATACTTTTAAAATTTCTTGAAGATTTCTGAATTTTCTTCAAGTTTCACTTTAAAATGCTGACAATCTTAAGGTATTTTTGCTTCGTTAAAAGTTATGAAATCCCTTTCCAGCTTCGAAGATGTAACAAAAACCAAATAATTGTCGTCACTTCCATTCGTCTGAAGATTGTAGCAATTGTTAAAAAATGTGGTTTTTAGTTTTGATTGAATTTTTTTTTGGCTTTTCTTTCTTCTTCGTCTTATTTTACTTTACTTTCTACTCAAAAACGATCTATTTTGTAGAGTTTCACTTCAAAATACTGACGATCGGGAGATCTTAAAATGGAGGCGAAAATTACAAGATAAAATTATAGATTTGTACTTTTTTTACAAAACTTTTTTCAGCGTCGAATTCGCGACAAAAACGTAAACAAATTCCTCCGGTTTTTTTGCGAAAACGCAAAAAACCATTATTTTCTGATGATTTTCTTCTTTTTTGACAATAATGGGGTCTTTTCAGCCAAAAATTAAAAAATTAATTTTGCTAGAAAATTCGCTTTATTTATCTGTATGCAGGGAACTTTAGAAAACCCATTTCAGCTTCGAATTTGGCACAAAAACCCAATAAATTTATTCGGTTTATTAGTTTTTTACCGAAAGTAATTAGGATTATCTTGAAAAAACGACCAGAACGTTTACAAAAAATGATTTGAAAAATTCGCCGTCCTGGGGGGCCAACTGGGGACAACTTTACAATATAAAATATTTGAAGCTTTAATATTCCAAAAGGAGAATTAGATTAACTTTTTTTTAAATATATGAAACGGACGATTAAAAACATTCCTTCTGAAATATGCCTCAATATGTCACACTGTTCCAGTAATATCAACTTTATCGCTTCTGGAGCAAATTTATGACTTTTGAGATGGGCGGCCCCGGCCACAAGAAAAACTTAAAGAAATCTCAACTTTTCGTGATTTATCGTAGTCGCTTCTCTTTTAATAAACACTTCTCCAGTTGGACATTTAAAATTGAATGCTTTTTCTAATCCAACTTGCAATAAAAT